ATTGTGAGGCGAAGCCTTAATACCAAAGGATTTTTATGTTTGGTCATTAGGAATTTGTACTTTTGGAAGTCTTCAACTCATTAGTTTGTGAAATGTTGCTTTAATGGTTCTTTCATAGCGCTGCATAAAATTTGAGCTTGTATATTCCATATATTAGAAACTGGTCTGATTTATTAAATTTTACAATGCTAGAGTCTTTGAAATTGATCTTGTATGTTCTTTTACTTTTCTTATTTACACCGTTAATTGCGGATTAATATATGTAAATCAAAATAATCTCAGTCCGTTTATAAACAGAATTATTCTTAAAATAACATTCAATAATTGCTACATTTGAGGAACTGCTTTCTCTTTAAAATTCTTAGAAAATTGAAGAGGTCGAAAAACTTTTCCTCATGCCATATTGCCGGGCTCACTCATTTCTAGTCATTCCTTTCCGTGCCTGGAATGGAATGCAGCTTTGAATATGCTCTTTCCCAATAAAAAAGCAAAACAATAATGGCTATAATAAAAACCGCCATGCTAAGTGCGGAACAGCGAAAGGATTTCTCAGCTGAAAACGGAACTGCGTGCGTTTGAATACATCATTCGAGACCGTTGACTTCTCCAACGATCCGCGAAAGCAGGTTCTTCACTAGAGAAAAGAAAGATGCTCATTAAGCCGGTTTGGTGACGCAGAAAGAGTTGCGTATTTTTGATCTATTTTTGAAGATGCGTCATCCGCCTATATTGAACCTTTTGTAACAGTTTTCGACTGTAAAAACTTAATAATGACCGGTACAGATTCAATAAAGCTGAATTGTCCCGTTTGAATACTGATGAAGAAGTCTCGTTAAGACAAAAAAAGGAAATAAATATCTATTTGTTGTTTAGTATTCTTATCAATTCCTGAATTCATTTATTGAAAATATATGCATACAATTTTAACAATATATACCGCCACTTTTATTATCTGATTTATGTTCTTTTCTTAAAAATGTTATGCGCATATTTCATACATTTTGCACAAAAGTGCCTTGTATGTTAATTTCTTTCCTCGAGAATTTTACAGAGAGCTTTCTTTATTTGCGAAGAACTTTACATTTTCTAACTCAGGCTCCTAAACAAAGGTTAGTTAATTAATAAATATTTAAAAAAATATCTGGAGCTAATATTCCCCGTAAGCCGATTAAGTCACTCATAACCTATTTTATCTAACAGTCGACTTGTCATTGTGCAGTCTGGCCAAAGAACTAAATCTCCATTCTGGGAAATATGAATCGGGAATGCACAGCTTGAAGCAGAACAGGATATTAGTATTTGCTTATGTTTATCTGAGAATAAATTAGTACATAATAATTTAAAGTACGTTTTTGTAAGTGACTGATTTACATTTGCTTTCACTAAAAACAAGTAATAAATGCTAAGAACTTTTAATCAGGTTTTGTAAACCTGTATTAGTGTTTATCGGTTTGTCTTTGGCTTAGATAAACATTTTCGTCTGAAATACTGTTTATTTAATAGCTTAAATTTTGGCACTTTTTTCCCAATTTGAGGAGGTGCGATATTTTCTCATGGTTTCGTAGGAATATCACTCAAGGAAATTAAATCCTAACAAAAACCATATTTCTTGTAAAGTCTGTTTCTACTTTCTCTAACTTTTCGTGTGTCTAATTCAACACTTTACAGCGCCTTTTAATGAGTATTCACTTCAAAAAAAATACTGCAGAGCAAGTTTAACAAAAAGATAATCGCTTAAATCCTTCTTAAATCTAAAAGCTTATCAGACGGCAGTATCGTTGAACCTTGTGAGGTAATAATCCAAACTTAACAATTCTGGAATACAAATGTAACACAGAAAAGCCATCTATAGTGATGAAAATTTTCTAGCTCTTCCCGAAAAATCTCACAACAAGTAAACTTTAATTAAACAGATATTTATCGGGGCTTAACCTGTGGGCCTTTAAATTTAAATTTTCCAAGTAAACTTAACCTCTGGGCCTTTAAATTTCTAGAAACTAATCAATCCTTTTATAGACACGGCTGATCGAAAAGGAGGAATTAGTTCAAGTGCTTAGTAGCATGCGACAATCAAATTCTAATTATGTCTCGCCTTCCTCAGAAGTTTATTTCCTATTATATACGTTTACGTTGCTGTAAAGAAAATGTGGTGTGCATGTTGACCAGGATATAACCTTTTTTGATGTTTTGTTTTGTTCAAGTCACCATCTTCGAAGGTTACCTTCCTAGAGAGGATGCCCTTGTAAAGGACTTCCTAAGTAATTGGATTTTGAGATGTATTAAATTATGGTCAAAACACTACGACTATGTGTCTATGGGGAGGAGTCTTTCCGTGGAGAACGTTATAAATATATCTTGTTCGTATTTACAATATGCAGAGAAAACCCAAGGAAATGCATCCAGCCGTTCACCAGCATTCGAACCTAGGTCAAAATACCGTATTCAGCAGCCTTAGCCCCTCGACCTACAATGACTGAGAAAAGTCTGTCAGCTATCTTTGTTCCTTATGATGTAGAATGAAGAAGCTAAAACACCGAATTTGAGATAACCGTCGCAAAAATTATGTTTGCACACAGAGAGAAGCGAAGACGGACTACTGAAACATAAGCTACTGAATTTTCTTGACCAAAATGAGTGTACAGATACTTAATCGTATGGCGCCTTATATTAAAAAATTCAAAAATATTACACTGCTCATCAAACTAAAATTATACCTACAGAAATAAAACTTAACTGTTGTTTGTTAAAAAAATTATTAAAAACAATTTGTGTGAAAGCAATATTTAACATAAATTGCTTTGCCTGCCAATTGATTAATTTCAAAATATTGAATTCAGGTATGAAATTTATGAGGATTTTAAATGTGATTGCGAAACGATCTCCCTTGTTTTATAACAAATCTTTCTTTAACATGGTGTAGAAATGCAAAACTCGCATCTTGAATTCATGACTTTTTGATCAAGACCTGTGAAATTGCACGCCACTCTTATTAAAAGTGCATTTTTCAGATTCTAGGTGCTCTGAAGAGGCATTTGGCTCTCTGCAGTTCGGTTGGAGCTCTGCATCCCGTACTTGCTTTATCGGGTTCAAAGCCTGGTGAGTAAGCAAGACAATCTATTAGAGTAATATAATCTGTTTCCGTGTACTCTGACACCAGAAATGCTCGATGAGGACGAGCACTGTCATCCGTTCTGGACGAACAGCCCTTAAGCAGCCTCACATGGGATTCCAAGACCTCATTCACACACATGATACCAGCTAAAAGCCTCCATCAAAGATATGCAGTTCGGTACGACAATTTTTTATGCTTCCATCCCAAACCATAAAATGCTTCATTGGAAATGAAACCTTTCGTAATTAATGAAAGACAAGTTGTGTGTTCCTCGCTCCTTCCATATCAAAACATATCTCAGCATAGCGCTTAGGCTATATCTAGACTTATCAGTAAACAGTGCATTGGTCCTATTCTACTTGGCTATTTCAAATATTTGATAACACTACCTTAAAAAGCCCCTTTGAAAGAAGAAATGATTGAGCTAAAAAGATCAACCTTTATGAAGACTTCACTTTGAAACCTTCGTGAAGCAGTAGAATACTTAATTCCATACTCGCTTCACGGTTTCTTCGAGTCATGAATGGCAGTGCGCCAGAGAGAAGGGCAACCTGTTTCAGACCATCGAGTGATGCATGGTGATAATGTCCAGCCCCCAAAAATTTATCTAAAAAGAACATCTAACGATCACATAGCCCGAGACAAACTTGACAGCACCCTTAAAGTCCCTGCTGAGATTGCACGGATTACCATATAGACGATGATCAAGTCACTGTGAAGCAGCCAATCTTCCCAATGCTCTCCACTCTAAACATACGGACGTTACGAGCTGTCAGCATGTGGGGTGGCGTCAATGACAGAAAACGGTCTTCGGGTGCAGTCATTGCTCTTAGCTACACTTGACAAAGCTGTCTACTAATTGATTCACTGCATTCAAGGCAGTTCCAATTACTTGATATGACACTTTGAGATATATTCAGATCTTGGGCAACTTCCATTTCTATTCGCGCTCCTCCTCCTCGGGTATACCAATTAACCGCCAATTTTGCCCTTCAATTACATGATGCCTGTGAGTCATAATTCAGGAGCAGTAAATACTGTCAAAGAGAATATTAGTTTAAACAACATTATACACAGGAATCGGACATTGATTGAAAACTTTAATTAGCAAGCACAGTTTCTTTCAGATTATCCTTTGATTTTGATGAGCAGTTACAATTTCAAGATGCATTACATATATATATACTCGTATATATTTAATAGTTTACACGCACAGCCTTCACATATCTGCAGCTTGGAGCGTCTGTAGTTTTAGAAACGTCTACTATTCTGCAATATAAATTCAGCTCAGTTGTAAGATATGTGAGATTGGCCTAGTTGCCTAGAGATGTAGAATACGTTGAGCCAATATGTTTTAATCATTACTTTGCAGTGTAGTCTTAATGTTACTGTAATTCCTGAATGTATAGGATTATCTTAAATATATAACATGTGCTTTTAAAGATTTACTGTTTAAAACCAATCCCTGGACTGCGAATAGAGCACTAAATTATATACATATGTATATATATGTGATTTTAACCTGTTTTTCTGAGCACTACAATCTTATTGTGGAAATAAAGCAATGTTACTTACTTCTTTTCTCTAGTTTTTTAAATTATCATTTTTAAAAAAATAATATAATGTTGTAAAAATTGTTGATGGCTAAGTAGAGCAAAATTACTAAATGTTTATAAGCGATTTGGTAAGTATATTAACTCTCCCTCCATCAGTCATTGACATTTCAAAAAATTAATACGATATTTTTTAAAACGTTTGATCCTTAGCTTTCAAAAATAGGAAAAGTCATTGGGTAGTAAAAAAACAACAAATTTTGTGTTGTAATAAATTCTGGGACTTGATGAAAGACAAAGTAAAATATTAATCTGAAAAACAAAATATTACTTACGTTGCCTTTGTTGTGCTTTGTCGGGCAAGTGATTCAATTGCCCCAAAGTCAGATGAATTCCAATGAATGATATTGAAATAATACATTTTAACGAAGGCAGTGACCTGAAAAAATTAATTTACATTGTAAACGAAATTTATACAGCATTTTATATACACAAATAAGTCAATTTACTTTTATCGGAAAATTTAAAATGGCCAAAAAAACGGAATTATGGGCGACATTTTACCAGAAATTTGAATCTAATAAACAGCAAGTAACTGTTATCGCCACGAAATAAGCTTTCAACCTCACAGAAGTCATACTTTATTCCATAATGTAAGTAATGCTTTGAATTATTTATGAACGTTATCCACCCATAACAAATCATTCTGAATGTTATCCATCCATAAGAAATAATTCTGAAGGCATCACTCATTTTTTCTCATAAATCGCCACCATTTCTTCAACGTATCCAAGCTCTTTTATTGATAAGCTAGATGTTACATTTTAGCCTATTAAATAGTAAAATGAATTTGAAATAGCTACATTTGCATGTGGTCTGATGTCTGCTAGGCATTCAAACTGACCCTATTTCCAATAGCTATGTTTGCTTTTAAGTTCTAATCCTCTCTCATACAATCTTACCCGACAGTCTCTTTTCTCTTCTTTTCCCTGAGAAGTTTATTCGCGCTCATAATGGCAATACTAGGAAGAACTTCATGTGATATAAACTGGAATTTTCACCTAATTTTTTATAGATAAGGTTGGTAAGACTTCAAATAAAATGAATCAGTGCCAATCAAATTCTGCAAATCATTTTTAAGAGTTTTATATTCTCCTAAATCTTTTATACAGAATGTCTTATTGAAGCCTGAGTTATCACAAAATATCAAAGCACAAAATATCAATATTTGTAAAGAATTTTAATTCATAAAGTTGGCGGAAGTGAGTGTGCAAGGCCTACATTGCAGGTGGAAATTGATGAAGATCTACAAAAGAGCTAAAAATTGGAAAACTAATCTAAAAGTGTAAAGATAACTAGAAATGTAATTTTAAAACTCAAAATTTTTAACATTCTGCAGCTAATTACATTCAGCGATTTATCTTTCCTTGCTTATTCTAACTTGCTCTAACTTGCATCTAATTTGCTCATTTCATTAAGAATAGTATTGATTTTGCCTTGTTGATACTGCCAGCAATGAAAGATCATTTCCCAAACTAAAATTAATAAAGCCTCATTTAAGTACTAGTAGGTTACTAGAAAGATTTCTGAAATTACATTAATAGCAGGTGAAATTTTGTCAATGAATATTTAGATATAAAAGAAATAATTTCTTTTATATCTAAAGATTTCTGAAATTACATTAATAGCAGGTGAAATTTTGTCAATGAATATTTAGATATAAAAGAAATAATTTCTAAAAAATTCAGATTAAAAAAAATGTATTTATTGCTTAATTAATTAAATTTTTGGCATAAATGCTGAATTAATTTTTAATTATATATTTTTGATTAAAGTACAATTCAGTTATTTAAATTATGGTTCTGTTGTTTTATTTCTTCTTCTAAATTATCTTCTATCATTGATATAAAATAAAAATTGAAAAAAAAAACTGATCTTGAAGCGCGCTTTTTTTAATTCGTAGGCTGTAGCGGAACATCCTAGCCCCAGCCTTAGTAGTACATATTACATTTTTTTTCGAATGCGAGTCCAAATTCAGTTAGCCTAAACTGATTCGATAAAGTACAAGATTAAATTAACTTATAAGAAGATTAAAGCTGTTCAGGTTTCCTGTTTTATAAGGAAGTTCTTGATGTAAAAAGTAAAAGTTTCCTGTAAAATGCAGTAAGGCTAGATGTCTGACATTAAAAACTTATAAAAGAATAACCGTTTGTCACTTTCAGCATTTGGCCAGTGTCGCTTTAAGAATTATGAAATATCTTTCGTATTTTTCATGTACGGGATAATTTGGTGCACAGTATTTATTGTAATTAAATTTAATAAGGTTTCTTTCTCTGTTTCTGTTGTAAATTGTTATCGAATAATAGTAATATTTATTCCTCTGTCACTGATGCAAGTAATGGTCATGTACGATGATCTTTTTATTTTCCTTTAATGTCCCTCAGTGCCTGCCAAGAAAATTTTGTGATGCATTTTCACTACTTTGGGATGATTATGCGTATTATAATTTCGGCTGATTTCATAACAGGTTAAAGGTTAATTAATTAAGGTAAAGATACGTGAGGGCTATCTGCCTATGGCCGGATGCCTTCATGGAGGACTTCTCAACGTAGATTGACTCGTAACCACGTTACAGATGGAGAAAACCACGAAATCTCTTAAGTAGCCAGCCTGTTTGGTGGAATAAGAACCCGAGTCGAACTACCAGTGTTTAGCGAGGCAGCTAGTGGGCTTAATTGCAGAATAAAAGAGGATGAAATGAAAAAATAACAAATTTGACTCGGCATATATTTCATGTTGAAGTAAAAAGAAAAAAAATAATTTTTAAATCACTGAAAATTAAAGCACCTGCCAACCAAAACGGAAAAAACTATTTGCGTTGGTGATTCAAGCATAAAAGTATAATTTAACTTAAAACGTAGATATATCCAAGTTTCGTTACAAGTGAATGCAACAGTTAACAAAGTTGCTGCATTTTAAGGAAGAATTTCTCACCAAGAAATAGGTGATGTTAATTCTAAATATCAAAATAATAAAAATAACATTTCAAATACAGCATGCGTTTATTTCCAAACATGTATCGCTTATCGTCTTATTCAGAACATAGTGGGTTTGAATCTCAGTTATTTGTTGTTTTAAAATATAATTTCCCAGCTTAGCTTTTATCGTCTGACGGTGGACGGTCTGAGGGGATCTAGGGAGACATTAAGGGCCGTTCCCAATGGGGTTTATCTGAGCTAACGGAGTCAGTTCCATGTGTCGGCTAGCTCCGCTATGCCTACATTTCAGATTTTTCAACTTGCTGCCCTATAGGAAAAAACTGGTTTTGGAGATGGGTCGGCTACGTCAGTTGTCTCCGTTAGCTCAGATAAACCCCAATGGGAACGGCCCATTACTGGTCCGAGGAGCAATAAGGGGGCACCAGAAGGCAAGTGAGTAATACGTATACAATTAAAAATTTGATTGCTTAAACACTTTTGAAGATTCACTTGATTAGGTAAATATTATAGTCAGGCATCTTTACAAGAATCCTACTAAAACATGTCAACCGATCCTTCACACACGTTTTTTAAGTTGTTTCTGTACTGCGTGATGAGTTTTTTATTGCAATAACTACCAAACGTTTGCCAATAAAGGCAATAAATACCAAAATGTTTTAAGCGTTTTCAGACGGTACCCACATATCGCATTCAGAAGACATCTAATATACATATGATTGCTGCAAGGGGAGAGACACTCAACAAATTCGAGTAGGACCCTGAGCCAAAACTCATTGAAAAGAGAGCAGTGAACCAAAAAGGATCGAAAAACTATATTTCAGAACATGTTTTAACTAATAAACGTAGCGTAATTCAGTATTATTAATCGAAAGATGACAGAAAAGTGATAAATAAAACTCAGTTATGTTGACAAAAATAATAAATGTCATTAGTACGCGCTATGGAAAGAAACATTTTATCACATGCTTTAATAATTTTTCATCAGTTATAGCAGAGTTTCCTTGAAAAGAAAACAATTCATAGTTTTCAAAAATCACTATTAGTTCCCTTAAAAACTGCCTTTAAAGAAGATTTATAAACTAATTAATTCATATTCCTCTATACGCATGGAGAAATCGTAAAAGTAACATTAGATTCAACTTGATCCACTAGAAATAAATTCCATTTTTCTTAGCCCTTTAATCACCGGTATGAAACAAAGCACTAAGAAATGTTGAAGTAGAAGCAAAAATGACAAGGAGACGTTTTAATTTAGAATCAGTTTAAAATAATTGAAGAAATTATTCTTCTGTCAGAAAAATATGAAAAAAATTGCCAGAAAATATATGAAGTTATTATTTTATAAGTCCAAAACTTTAATAGCTTCAAAATAAAAATACTAGGTTCTAAGTCCAAAACTGGAAAATCGCAATTAATGAAGTAATGCTTGAATAAAATCATGCGTGATAGCGTGAAGTCATCTAGGTTATACCTTGCAGTAATATGCGAGTTCACTACCACGGTCAAAATATGAAATCGGCATGGTAGGAACCCCAGTTAACACAAAATAACCAGAATGTGAAATGGTTTACTTATAAAAGTTCATATATTACAGAAAAGAGTTTACGCTGTGAGAAAGTTTCACTGTATGCAGAGTTGATCATAGTTCAGTTACGATGTAATTGATTAATTATTGAACTGCAATGTAATTGCAAATATAAGTAAGCAATTCAATTGCAGTGTAACTGCAAATATAAGTAATTGAATTACAATATCATCAATTACACTGTAATTGCAATTACAATGTAATTCAAAGTAATTACATTGTAACTGAAACTTGAAATCCTTCTAATACAATGTAATTGTAATCAGAAATCAAGCAATTATAAATAATTCAATTACATTGGAACAATATTATAAATTGTACAATTACAACATAATTCTAATTGCAGATAATTGAATTACAATGTAATTATGATTGCACGATTTGTAATTGAAATAGCATTACAATGACACCTACAATAAAATTATAACCGCAGTTATAATTATCTTGCATATGTACATTAACTAGAATTCCAGTGTAATAAGTTTTTTGATACTCCAGGTTTATTATACCTTGAGGAAGACGCATTATTTTACTTCAGGCAGGTGCATCCAACTGTAAAAAATAATACGTTTCAACTATTTACTGAAAGTGGGTTATATTTAATAAAAGCCTATTTATTTATAGTTAATATCGTTACTGCAAGTTGAGTTCACTCAATAAGTATGCAGGATGGTCTCCGGATGGAATATAATGCAAATTTTCTGCATTCAGCGTCCACCAACGACCGAGCAGTAAAATCGCAAACATTACTATTTTGACCCTAGTTTAAATCTCGGCAAACGGGCTGGCTGAATAGGCCTTTTCGTGGTTTTCTCCAATGTAATGTGAAAAGAGGCCAGATTCCCTTAGAAAAGC